TTTCAATGAAAAAAATCAAGGCCTTTTACCTAGAACTCCCTCTTTTCCCCTTCTCCTCATTTCACACCCCTCAGATGCCTTCCATCACTATCTCTTCTTCACCCCTTTCTCTCATGAAGAAGTAGCCTTTTTCCTTGCCGAAGAAAATCCTCTATAGCACAAGTGATCCCGTCCCATCCCATCTTGTCCAGCAGATTGCCTCCATATCATCTTCACTTTCTCACTTATTTTCAATCTCTGCCTATATGTTGGTCACTTACAACTGCCTGCCTACAAACATATTTGTGTCTCCTGTATCCTGAAAAAAAAATGCTCAGTTGATCCTTTTATAACTCCCTTCCCATTAGCTTCATCCCATATCTCTTCTCCCTTTTGGGCCAAACTCTTTGAGGAGGCCATGAATGATTGATGAATCCACTTCCTTTCCCCTCACTATCTTCTTAACTCTATATTCTAGCTTCTGACCTCATTTTTTCAACTGAAAGTACTTTCTCTAGAGTTTCCAATAATCCTAGAGTTGACATTAGTTAATGGTCTTTTCTCAGTCCTCACCCTAGTTGACTTCTCTGCAGCATTTGGCACTCTTGATCACCTTCTTCTCCTTGGTACACTCGTCTGTCTAGGTTTTTGCGACATTGTTTATCATGGTTCTTCTCCTACCTATCTGAGTTCTCCTTCTTAGCCTAATTTTGGGGGGTCCTCATCCATTCCTCCCACTAATTATGGGTGGACTTCCAGGCTCTTTCCTGGGTTCTCTTCTCTTTTCCCTCTGTTGGTTTTCTCACCAGCTGCCTTGAATTCAATCTCTACCCTGATGTTCCTCGGATCATTTACCCACTCCTAAGCACTAGATATATCTCCAACTGCCTGCCTATTGGTCACCTTGAACTGAATGTCCCCTAGCTGCCTTAAACTCAATATGTCCAATATTTTTTTCTTTCCTCCAGAGCCCTCTCCTCTTTCTATCTTTCCTATGACTGTGGAGGGCAGAATCACCATCTCAATCAGTTTTACTTTTTCTAATGTCTCTTGTGCACTCCCTCTTCTCCCCTCTGACCCTGCTAACTCAGGCCTTCATTACCCTATTCATAGACTATTGCAATGGCCTGCTTGTGGGTTTACCTGCCTCAAGTCTATCCTAGCTTCAACAAATTCTTCATTTACTTCTCAAGCTGAGCTTCCTAAAGTATGGGTCCAACCATGTAACCCTCTCCTCTATTCAATAAACTCTAGTGGCTCGCTATTACCTTGAGGATCAACTAAAGACTTCTCTATTTGGCATTTGGCACGCTTCATAAACTGGCCTCCTACTGACTTTCCAGACTTTTTACACCTTACTCTTTCTCTCTCCTTCTGCTCCTACATTAAAATTGGCCTCTTTGCTATTCCTTCCATAATACTCTATCTCTTGACTGTGCAGTTTCATTGATTGTCTTCCAAGCCTAGAACTGGGAGATGAGGAGAGAGATCTAACAGCTACCTTGACTTCCTTCAAGTTCTAGTCTATCTTCTAAAGGAAGCTTTTCCAGATCCTCATTAATTCTAGTACTTTCCCTCTGTTGATTATCTCAAATTTATTATATACCTATATCTGTCTATATCTTGTTTGCACATAGTTGTTTGAATGTTATCTTTCTCACTAGACTGTTTGCTCCTTGAGGGCAGAGACTGTCTTTTGTTTTTCTTTGAAATTTCAGTACTTAGCACAGTGACTGGTCCATAGTAGGTACTTAATTAATACTCATTGCCTTGATTTGACTATTGCCTCTCTTGTTCTGGACGTTGCTTTTATTAATTCTACTTAAGATGGCACTATTCTTTTTGGTGGGTTGGTGGGCTGCCAATGACAGAAATTTTTTAACTCTAAGATAAATGAAATACAGAACTTTAGAGCAAAGGAAAAACTCAATTTAGTAAATACAACATAATTTCATTTTGAGCACTTGTGCAAATCAATATATAAGTAGAAGAAATTATTCTTTAATTCGATGGACATCTATTTTGTCCTTACCACGTATAAGAACTGGGAGGAGGCATTTTGAGGGTAAAATCTGGCAAACTTACAATGTAGTACTCAAAGTGGCCACAAGTAATAGCTAAAGGTAACTAGAATTGCAAGTCACCTTGAAGAGTTTCTAGTCCTAAGTACAATTTTTTTGACTTCTAAACTCAATTTTAACGATGAAAAAAATGGAGTCCTAGAAATACAAAATAGTTTGCTTCAGATCATAAGTTTGGGAAGGACCAGTTAGGAAAAGACCCCTAGCTAGTTGATTCTCAGTCTTGTCACTCTCTTTACCACTCTTTAAACAGCTTTGTTTTTATTTAACAAAACACAGGAGTACATGTGTCCTACATAACAGAATTATCAGAGAGATAAATATGACACACATGGTAGGCATTCAACTAAATCATTCTAGGCCACAGACACTTGGAGCTACATTGAATCTTAGAGGTCAACTAGAAGACCTATGTAAGGTAGTCAATGAGAGGGCTAGGGTTTGATCCAAAGACTTCTGGTTTCAAATATGATGCTCCTAATTTACCATGTTTGTAATTATCCACATGCTTGATTTTGTAATGTCCAGCATATTTGCTTTGCTGAAATTTATAGAACACCATTATGAAATTCTCAACTGGTCAACACAGAGATAGGATCAGTCTGTTTTTCTGATGATGTTTCAGAGTTAAAGACATAGGGATGAGAGATGCACATTTTCCCCCTTCTTAGAATCTAAGTCCTTGGATGCAACCTTTGGACTGAGTCCAAGTTTTACAGAACAAATTCTTTTATTAAGGGAATTTGTTCTGTGAAATTTGGATTCAGTTAAAGGGCCACACCTGAGGAACTAGAGGGCCACATATGGCCTCAAGGCAGAAGATTCCCTACCCCTGACTTAAATCCAGGGCTGTAGCCAAGTATCTTTAAACCAGTGATCAGATTATATTCTTTAGCTTTCCTACATTTTTGCTCTTCACAACCTATTCCTTGCTAAAGTCCCAAACATCTACCATTTTACTTGAGCTATCCTAGTAGTGATTTCACACTTGCTGCAACTTTTGCATGGTTCTACTTTCTGGATGTTTAAAAAGGTTAACAAAATTTTTTTTTAGAATAAATGATAAAATTTACATACTTGGTAATATATATAGGAGCTGATTAAGGAGTATTTAATAATATGTAGCAGAGGTTCTTGAAAACTTCCATGGACTCCAGGGACATGGTGATTCATCACTTAGGCCTTTTCAGGATGATAAACTTCTTGGCCATGTGGTGCCCAGGGCTGAAAGAACTTGTCACTTTGGTATGACACAGAAATCCCTGAGTGATTCCTTGATTTCCCCCATCCTTTGGAGCAGCTGGGGGTGATGCATTAGTTAAAAGAAAAAAAAGCTTCCAGCTGTTTCTCTTTTTTTGACCCTCCAGGTGGCATTATGTAACTCCAAGACTCCCTGTAAGGGATGGGTCTGTGGATATGCTTTTTCCCATCCTGGTAACAGTGATAGTTACAGCAGAGGCACTCCATAAAAACAGCTTTTGTTTTGCCTGAATCCGTGGTTGCCTTTTCCACTTCATGTTTCTGTTCCTGGGTAGGCGACTAAGGATCAGTGTTGAGATGAATTTGTTCAGACTTAGAAGTGACATAGATTCAGCTGACAGTCATTAAGGGAACATTGAATATTGTCTAGAAGGGCAGACAAAACCCTTGGGCTGGGTAGAGAGAAGCCATTGACTTTGAAGGAAATAGTGTAGAACTAAGGTGAATTGTAAAATGTTTAAACAGTATTCTGAATACTGTTTTATAATTTGTTGAGGTTTGGGTCAACCTCTCAGCAGGTTGTAACAGTAGTTTTAAGTTAAGTTACTGAATCGTCTTGTAAGTCATTTTCCCCCAATATGTTCTGTGAGTCTTTCATATTTAGCCTTTCTTTTGTGTGTAGGAAATAACTGCCTGTCTTATGCCAAATTAACCTTGTGTATTGAGTACCATTTTTACTTGCCCCTTGAGAACTAGACTTGTAATAACAAACTAAGGATTAAGCAATTTTACATTTATGAATAGAGTGACAAAGTTAACAGTAATATTAATGGCTAACACTTATATGGCACTTTAAGGTTTACAACGTGATCGACATACTATCTCTTTTGATTCCACACCAACCCTGTCAGGTAGTTACTATTATCATCTTCATTTTACAGGTGAGGAAACTGAGGCACACAGAGGTTAAATGAATTGCCTAGGGAGTTTCTTAAGTCAGAATTCAAATTCAGCTCTTCCTGACTCTAAGTCAGACACTCTCTCCACTGTGCCCTTGAACCAGCTTCCCTCTCTTTAGTGGCGAGTACATTCTACCCCCTCCCAACTGAATACTTGGGACCGTGCCTAGGTCCTGAGCAGATGGGCCCCTTAGGAAGTGGTCCTTAACGTGAGAAATGAATGCCTGTATTGTTATTGCAGGGGTGAATGATACATACTTAGACACCCCTACCCCCCATCCCATTACTACCTAGAAGTAAACTTTCACCATGAAGAGCTCTTCTGTTTTAAAGTGTTACAAGCTGCCTTCTGAGTAATTGGGGAGGGGGAGGAAGGTGAGTGTAGCCTGGAGGTGATGGTTCCAGCGGCTGCTATTTGAGGCTGAGGGATTGCTGTTGGACGGCAGGGGAAGGGGGAAGCTCGCACACAAAAGGCGATTTCCGGCTCTAATTTCCCTCGCTCTACTCCCACATCTTGGACTGTTTTGGGAAGCAGTAAAGGAGAACTTGGTTGGGTCAACGAAAGAAAAGACAGGAAGGGAAAAAAGGAGTTGAAGGGAAGACGGGGAATCAAGCTGTTCCCATTTTATTGTCTTTAGCATTATCATCATTCTTATTTTGGAGCCCCCGAGGCTAGGTCTGAGTCAGCTAGAGGGACGCCTTCTCGTTTCCAGCCTGGGACGTCTAGAACAGGAACAGCAAGAGCGAGACCCTGCCCAGACAAAGGGGTCCTTGCGCTTCCGTGCAGGGAGGGAGGGAGAGACTGAGAGAGGGAGGAAGGAGGGAGCTCCTACTGCCGCCACGCCACTCTTGCTGCTGCTTCTGCACCTACGAGCGAGCGAGACTGTGCCTCGCAGAGAAAGTGAGAGCAGGCAGGAGCGCAGCGGACCAATCTGGGAGCCCCAGAGAAACCAGGACTGCGAGGTCAAGCAGGCAAGAAGGCAAGCTGGCTAGGAGAGCAGCCTCCCCGGGAGCCCAGGCGGCGGAAGAAGCGAGATACAGGCTTTGATCCAATCAGAGGACTAGATCCGCGCTGGGCTCCAACTCTCCGCCTCTCTCTTTCCCCCACCCTGCTTGTCTTTATTCTTCCCTCTCTTCTACTCCCCCTCCCCCCCTCGCACAACTGCAACAGCTGCAAAAACTGCTGTCGGTGATCTCGCAGGTCCTTTCGTTGGGCTGGCCGGGGGGGCTGCAGCATGGCTTTATCGTGGAGAAGCTGGTTAGCAAACGAAGGGGTTAAACACCTCTGCCTGGTAGGATGGGGGCTCTGCCCTTCTTTTCCCTTCTGTCAATTGAAAAGTTTTGATTCTTTGTGTATGTCTATTGGAGTGGGAGTATAATGGGGCGTTTACTACTGCTTGAAAATGTTGCTAACATAAAAAAAGAGATATGTATTTTAGGCATACAATAATATGCTAATTTACATTTGGGTGCTTCTATTGATCTTTATATATAGTTTAGCTCTACTGTCTACTGGAGGAGAATGTTGAGAGTGTAAAGTGGGCATTGCCATGTGAATATTTCTCTTCTGTTGATCGGCTTGTTTTAACAATTCCCTCCTATATTTAGTTTTTCTACATTCTTCTAACAGCAGTAAAAATTTTGTGTGTTTGTAAGTGGGGATGACGTTAGGGATGCGTGGGTGCCCCAGGGTGTCAAATCTGGTGAATGAAGTCAGGAAAATGCACTGGATTAGCATTACAGGGTCTGACTCTAACTGCCATTTCTGCAGTTTGCTCCCTATGTGACCCTAGCCAAGTGACAACTAATTCCTAAACCTTAGTTTCCTCATCTGTAACATGAAGGAATAGACTGAATGAAGGTTGAAGTTTTTTGTACTTCTACACTTTGTGTAGTTACATAGGAGTAGAGACTTGCCCATGTCTCAGAAAACCTGTTTGAATCTAAAATGTTTTCAATTGGACAGAGAACCTGACTAAAGTATTTTTTTAAAAATTTTTAATGATACTTGTTTTTTTGGTTGATTGAAAACACTTAAGTAGCGGGGTGGTATTCCAGTTTTTACTTGTAGATTTCATTGACTTGTTGTTTGTTTCTTTTGTCTTGATTGTTTTAGCTCATCTGGCTCTCTCTCAATGTCCTACTTTTTTGGAAAACCTTCCTGCTGTATTATCAAGGACCAGAGTATTATTATCTCCACCAGATGTTGGGGGTAAGTGTGACTCAACTGATGATCTTTGACCATACCAATGAGGCTGGTATAAGGGGAGGAAAGGAAGAGAGGAGTATGGGAGTCAAAATGTTGCTGAAGATCTTTCTTTGCAGAGGAAGTTAAGACAGATTTCTTGCCAAACACTTTACTTTTATTTTCTCCAGGTAGGAAAGGGTAATGTTGTTGAAGAACAAAGGGAATTATCTAATCAGTGGAAATGAATGAACTGCAGGAACCTTAGTCTAGTGCTTGGGAAAAACCTCTTCTTGCTGCCAGATGCAGGGAGCACTTAAGGATTTGGCATACAAACATGATCAACAGATGACTGAGGTTTTAGTTTTCAGTCATCCAAGCTTCAGCCAACCTGTGAGCTTATTCAGAGGAGCTTGTGTCTTTTGCTGCCAATTCTCAGGAAACATGTGCTTTACAGACCTAGTTAATAATCCTGGGCATCTCTTAATCAATTAACTGACAATGTCAGTGATCTTGACTTATTACAGAAATGTTATATACTGTGCAAAATTTCCCCTAAGTCCGTTCTTGTCTAGTGCTTCCTTTTTTCTTTGCCATACGTCTCATACTTCCTTCTTTCCTGTGTACCATACCCCTTGCAGAGGGGAGAGAAACAGACTTAGGAGAGGTACTTTTCTTATGTATCTAAATGCTTTAGAGCAACAGGATTGAATCATATCATAGGAGTACCAGTAATTTTGCCAACTTTCACAATGTATTCTAGTGGCTAAGAAAATGTCCTACCTAGGTAATAGTGAGCACGATTTTTAATGTCTTAAGCTATCATTATTTCACTTTTCTTCTTCCCCTTCTCTCCCTCACCCAAAACAAAGCAAAATAGGCCAGCGAATTCTCAGTATAGAAACCATATCCATCATGAATCTGTACTGATCAGTAGGTCCTCTATAATTTATATCCTTGCTGCACTATAACCTGCCAGTGATCATGTAAGCTAGCAAGTGTCATTGGTGATGCTTGAACCCAGGTCTTCCTCACTCCAAAACTAGTCCTCTACCTACTGTATCACATTTTAGTCTGGTTGTTGTTAAGTAGTTGTAATCATTTTGAACTATATACTTTCCAAATGAGATTTGGTAAATTTCCTTATCCTTGATGGCTCAGATTCATTTTGCATAAGGATCAAATTGGGACCTTTAGAAGGAATCAAAAGAAAGGCATAGTGCTGCTTTTCATCACCTTCCCTGCCCCCACCCCAACCAAACACTATTGATATTTAGCACTGTGGGCTGCCTAGCTTAATGCTTTGGAAGCTTAGGTAATATTTGGGCTTGTGACTTTACAAGATATAGTACTCTCAAGGAAATACTAATTTGTCACTATAGGCAAGGCAGTTTACTACTATTTATATTCAAGGAACTATGCTTGATATTGGACTATTTTCATTTAATTCAATAAGCTTAAATCCTGGGATTTAAAGCTAGAAAAATGACTCAGCTTTTTCCTGAGATGGCTAGGTAGAATAGTAGAGGCCCAGAGAGTTTAAGTGATATTCCCATTATAGACGGGAACAGAAGGAGGATTTGAACCCAAATCCTCTGATATAAAATCTAAAGCCTTTTTATTTTAACATGCTGCTTCATTAAGTGACATATAATAAGCCTTTTATTTCTTCTCACTTCTTTCTACCTGAACTCTCTCCCTCCCTTCCCCTAAACTTTTTGTTGCTGCCAAAATTGTCTTCCTTATACATTGATCTGGTTGTATCAATTTCCATAATGTTAGTGACTTCTTGGAGGTTCATTATTCCCTAATAAGTAAAGTTCATACTCTTTAGCCAAGCATTTAAGGTCTACTATAATCTGGTGTCACCCACCTTTTTGCCTTTATGTCATACTTATGCTTAGTACTCTACCATATAATTCTAGTAGGCCAGACCACAGTACTCTTTGTACTCTAAATACACTCTGTGCTTTTCCCCCTCCCAGGCTTTGCTCATACTGTTCTCTGTGGCCCAAATGCCCTCACTTTTCACTTTTACAGTCTGACTTTAGTGTTACTGAATTTTTAATATATCCCCATATTTTGTCACACTCCACATTTGTTAGGTTCTTTTCCTCTGTAGATCTTCAAATGTAATTTGTGCACCCATTTTAAACTTACTTTTGTATTAATTTGCAGAATAATTATCTCTGTATATGTTTTATCCCACTACTAAACTGTAACCTTCATGAGGGCCTGGACTAGTTCTGCTAGTTCTTATCTAACCTTTGTGTCTTACACACACACACACACACACACACACACACACACACACACACACACACACACACACGTAGTGTTTCCTCATCAACAAGGGTCACAAATGCCTATTGAACTGGATGCATTAAAGTTTGTCTGAGCTAAGTTTTTCTTTGGGAGTTTGTTTCACATCTTTGATAATGAAAAAATAAGAAAACTCTTGAGATGCAAAGCTGGCTCTTGTTCAAGAGTTATGGGTTGTGTTAATGTAAAATCTGAGGGCAGACAACTTGGAAAGCTAAAATTGAACTTTGGAATTTAGTTCTCTAGCAGTCAAGATTATAACATGCATAAACTCGGGATTGTTGTTGTTCTTGTGTTTTTTTTAATAGTTTATGGGGGCAGGGACTAATTACTGTGGGCTTGAGTTCTTTGGAAGGTGATTTAAAAAAAATTCTTGTTTCTTAGTCGTGAAGTTGTTATAAAGACATATGTAGCTTGTGTTTGTGTGTGTGTGTGTGTGTGTGTGTGTGTGTGTGTGTGTGTGTTGTATGCTGGAATTGGAGCAAGGAAGACATGAGGTTAAATCCACCTTCAGACACAGGCTGTGTTAGCCAATGCAAGCCAAATCATCTCTTTCAGCCTCAGTTTCATCATCTATAAAATGGGGATAAAAACAACCTACTTCACAGGGTTGTTCTGAGGATCAGTATATTTAAAACACTACTCAGACCTTAAACCATTATGTGAATGCTAACCATTATTATCATTATGTTAATGAGACTCCAAAGTAGTAAAGTAGACATTGACAACATGAAAGCCATTGAGGGGAGTAAGAAGAATAGCAAGCAAGGGAAAAGTAGGATGAGCAGGTCACTGTAAAATAGCTTTTATAATTACATAAGAAGTGTTACAATAGATCAGACCATGAGTTATCCAGCCGAACTTTCTGTCTTTGACAATGTCATTGAGCAACCTGTGGTAGTAAGGTATGGTTTCCTCCGTGGCATCAAGCATGAAGGTAAAAGATTAGATCCATTGATCTCTCAGCCCCCAAAACAGCATGGTATAGTAGAGAGAGGAATTGTTGTTATTTGTCCTTTGTTCTCAAAGAAGACCATAAGATCAAGAAGGTGATGCCATGACACGCAAGTGAATTGGATTTAAGTGAGGGAGAGCTGTGCAAAGTCACCAGCCTCACTTTCTCCTCTGGAGCTATCTAGGTCCAGTGGCCAGATACAGATCAGCACAACTGGAGATGGCCCAGGATGCAGTGGGTGACCTTGGCCTTTTCAAGCTAAGGTCTTTAACCGGTCTCAGTTTGACTGATTTTAAGTCAGAGGACTTTTATTTGAACATTTGGTTTAAATATCACCCATTTGAGACTTGCTAGAGCTTGTCTTTATGACCTTATCTCTTTCTTCCTTTCCAGTCTTCTTCCATATACAACTCTATATTCCAACCATACTGGCTTACTTGATGTGTTCCTCACACACAGTACTCCATTTACAATCTATATGCCTATTCATTAGCTAGCTCCCATACCTTTGTCTTAGAATCCTTGGCTTCATTCAAGATCATCTCAAATACCACCCAGGAGATCTTTCCGGGTTCCCTCCAACTTTCAGAGTCTTTCCCTTGATGGCTACTATCCATCTTCCTCTCCATGCTAAGTGGCTTCCCCTTAAGTTTACCTCCAATTTGCCTTGTATATAGCTTGTACAGACCTAATTATTTACTTACTTTCCCTCCCATTAAAAAATGAGCTCCTCAAGGGCAGGGACTATTTTTGTCTTTCTTTGTGTCTTCAGTGGTTAGCATATGGCTTGGCAAAAAAATAAGAGCTTAATAAAAATTTTGTTGACCTGTTGACTATGAATCTTTTATAAACCTACTTATTATGTACATACTATGTTTCCCATTAGAATGTAAGCTATTTGAGAGCAAGATCAGATTTTGCTTTTTCTTTGTACCCACTCAGTTTAGCATAGTGCCTGACATGTAGTTAATAAATGATGATTGAATGATTAAGGGGAATCACTTTTCCAGTGTGTGGAGGATGAATTGTAGTGGAGAAAGAGTTCACTTACAAAGATATAGCTATGGACAAGGAGAGTGTAATAAGGGCTTGAATTAAGGTCATAGCTGTGTAAGTAGTTATAAATGAGTTAGATGTGAAAGGCGGTAGAAGAATCAGTAGTACGTGGCAACTGATGGATATTGGATTGATGGGGCATGAGATATCATGGATAATGCTGAGATTATGAATCTAGGTGACTAGAAGCATGATGGTGCCCATTCCAGATACAGAAAAAGCTGATGCCATGAAAACATTCCTTTGAGACTATTGATATAAATAAAAAATCTGATAATTTCAGAATACTAAAGTTAGGTGGCAAATCAGAAATGTGTCTTTACCTTGTGATGCCTAATATCACATGAAAAAGTAGATTAGGGATGCATAGAACGAAGTGCTAGGTGATTTCTTGGTGTAAAAGTCATTGTTTACATAGACAGATCATGGAAAGCTTTAAGGTAGATGTGGCATTTGAGCCCAAACCTAAGGCATAGGAAGAAAGAATTCCACAAGTGTGTAGTGGGAAGGACAGGATGCTTGCTTTGGGGAAAAGTTGCCATAGAAGGCCCCTATTTTCCAACTCTGGGAATCTAAAATGATCAGATTTCACTTTAGTTATATTAACTTTTTTCCCCAGTGGAATGTTTTGATGGTGCCATCTTAAATGTGTGGTTTATTTTGGCTTGAATCCCCTGGTCATGTCATTGAATCT